AAATGTGCTTTACACAATTAATGTGTGTATGGATTGGGATAACAGTTGTATGGGCCCCTAATAAAATGTTTAAAAAATAAAATAAAATACCCCAAGGCATCCGACACTACTTAGTCCTGGGAGCATGCAAACAGTAGGTGGGAAACCATCAACCCAAAGTAGCTCTGGTGTTGGAAAGAGGTGGCATGTGAATGTGGGCTGAGCAACAGGAAGAGCATAGTGAGGGGCACTGGACAAATCTGTTGAGTGGACATGGGTGGAATGGTGAATGTTTTGTTATGTAGATATGTACCACAAAACAAGTCCCTTGCAAAAGAATCGTTTCTGGTCTTGTCAAATGCCAAAGTCTCTTGGCTGCTGCCAGGCCCTTGACTCTAATGCTCACACACCTGTAAAGGGCAAGGTTTGCTTCCACAGGTGGAGCGCTCCTGGACCACAAAACCACATAGAGAGAGCAACGGGGGCCAGAGTCAGAGCCATTCTTCCTTTCATGGGCCACAGCCTGGCCCTTAGGAATGTGGCCCTTTCTGGTGGGCCCAGATTCCATGCAGGTGGGAAGTCCTGATGGCAGGCTCTTGTGGATCCCAACCGAATGCTTTGGGCTGCTTTTCCCTTCCTACCTGACTCCAGCTGAGATCAGGTACCAGCTACAACCCTTTGCTCTCCGACCTTTAATCCTTGTGCCCTTTCCAATGCCTCTCCTGAAGGCTGCACGCCAGGACCTCCCACAACCTCTTGTTCTTGGCCTAGTTCTTCCCTTCTTCTTAAGCCCAAACTTTCTTTGTTGCTCTCGTGTTCTTGTCCAGAGCTCCTAGAATATTAAGCTTGGGAGGGACCTTATGAATCTAAGTCTATAGTCATTTGATGATGGGATTCTCTCTTCCACATGACCAATCTGTGATTTTCCAGTACCACAAGACACAAGATGTTGACTGTCTTCTAGACAGCTCAATGCATCTTAGGCTGCTTCCTGGTGGTTGTCAGTCTTTTCCTGGGGGCATTTACTGTGATTAAGGTCCTGGCCATAAGATTATGGTCAGAAAACCATTTGCAACCAGTGATGGGTGGGCTCTGGCCTAAGAGGGCTTCTCAAATATCCCCCTCAAAGGGACACAAGTCTTTCCCAAGTCTCTTGGCTCAACACTCCTGTCATCTTGTATTTTCTGTGTTAGTCTGACTATCTGAATAAAGTCCCGTGACACTGGTACTCTGGAGAGAGGCACACTGGTGATCTTGGGAACGCAAGGAGAGTCTGGAGTAGATCAGCCTAAGAACCATGATTCCCAAGCGAAGCGGATGGCTGCTTTCCCTGTGTCATGTCCCCGCCCCACAGGGCAGGGGTGAGTAGGACAGAGTGGACACTGGTGGAGAGTGGGGAGATCTTTCGAAGTTCTAAACTAAGCTTACACCAAATAAGTTTCTGAGGAAGGAATGATGACGAGGGAAAATGAAGGGCTGACAGGCGAGGAAAAGGAAGCTTTGGAAGAATGATTGCAACAAGGTCATGCTGTTCGGGAACTGGGATATGAACTGAGCTCTCGCTGTCTCCAGAGTCCGGACTTCAACTCTTGCGAACCTGAAAGGTCCGTGACTCCCCACCCTGAACTGGTCGCAGCATGGGCCTCGGCTTATTTCTCTGATATCAGAAGCTAGACCTGGTTGTTTCTAAGACTTTTATAGATAAAAGATTGACACGTTAACCCTCCTCAGACCATTCAAAATATATAAGCAGCAACTGGTTCGGAGTGCGAGGGGCACTCAGACAAAGAAAGCACAGCTTCTGCTCTTGCTCAGGGCTCCTGGTGGTGGCCCTGGTGGTGCAGCCAACCGTAAGGGAAGCAGTCTGAACCCCCTGAACCCACTATCTGCTCCTGTAAAGACTTACAGTGTCGGAAACCCAAAGGGGCAATTCTACTCTGTCCTATTCACTTGGTGGCAGCAGATTTGACTTGGTTTTTGGTCTGTGATGAGACCGAGACATAAATTAATGTAAAAAAGATGTGGGACCATAGCTGACCTCCTCTGGGTCCCCTATTGCCGCGAGGCAGAGTGCGTTAGGCCGGGTTGACTAGAGAAACAAATCCAGTGACATTCATATATGTGTAAGAAAAAGCTTTATATCAAGAAGGAATCATAGAACAAGAAAACATCCCAGTCCAACTCAAGTCCATGAGTCTGATACGAGTCCCTAAGTCTCTCTTCAGACTCACACAGCCACGTGCAATGATGCAGAACCCAGGGAGCTCACAGGCCGGTGTGTGCAGAGTCCTGTGGATCCGAGGCCGGTGGGAACATGGCCTGGCTCCAGCAGCCAGCAGGCAGGAAAGCGAAGGCAGAGAGTGAAGGGGAGGTTCCCGGGGCCCTCCTTATGAGAAGGCCACGCCCACAGGAGGCACCATCAGGCCTGATGGTTGAATACCACCTGTACACTTTTAGATATCTTCAAGTTGACATGAAATTATGTACCTCCCACACCGAGGTCATCCATGCTTCTACCCTCCATCCTCCTTGACCTCTTCTGACACCTCCCATTCCTCCCATGATACTACACTTTTCTGCTGGGCTTGATAATTCACTACAGGTGACCGCAAGTCAGGATCCCTGAGCAGGGAGAAGTCAGTGGTCCACAGCAACACCTGTCCTCAGCCAGTTGCCCGGGGGTCCCCCGACCTCTGCCTCCATGGACCAGGAAGCCAGTCTGCTGCACGCAGGCTCATGGCCTTGGTGCTGCTTCTCTGTTCTTTCATTTTTAATCGTTTTATTGGGGGCCCCTCTGTCCTGTCTCATGATTTCCTTGTCGCAGCTTCTGGTCTTGGCCTGGCTACTTTGCACTGTCTCTTGGTCTCTGTGCTGCAGCCTCTGGTCTTGGCCTCTGCCACTTCAGACAGTGGTCTCCACTGGTGGCTCCTCTTCCAATGGCCCTAGGATTTCTCTCTGCTTCCCAGATGACTCTTCTACACAAGGAATGGCTTTGATGGATGCTGTTTTTGACGTTCAGCAGACCATACACACAAGCAAACAAAGGATGGCAATTTGGTTCACAGCCACTACTCAAAGTGGAGACTTAATCCCCCCCTACTCCTGCCCATTGGGCAAGGAGCCTTGATGGCGTCGTAGTTACAAGTTGTTCTGGGATCCGAAAGGTCTGCAGTTCGAAACCACTGGGGGGGGGGGTCTCTTTGAGAGAAAGGCTTGGCTTTCTGTTCCTATAATGAGTCACAGTCTTAGAAACCCACTGGGACAGCTCTACCCTGCCCTATGGGGTTGCCATGAGTCAGAACTAACTCAGTGGTGTGTTGAGTTGACTCCTGCCCACTAGCAGCAGAGAAAGGCAGCAGTTATAGTACATCACCTAAGGAAGTATGGCTAGAAAGGCCATGCATATTCATGGACTACATCTCCATCAGTAATCATGGCAGTTGATGATGAACTTGTGGTCCCAGTCGATTGTGAAGAACCTGGATGAGAGGGTAGCAAAGATTAATGAGAAGGTTTCACAAAGGAGTTGCTATTTGAGCTGAGCCTTGAATGTTAAATGATGAGTGAAGAAGGAGGAGCCACACGTGCCCAGCCATGACATAAGAACTCCTGGGTGTTCAGGAGAGGCAGCTGGGGCTTCCACACAGAGTGTGGGAGTGTGCGTGCATGTTTCTGTGGGTGCGCAGCAACACCGACTGAGGAGGTGGGTTTGGTCTTGATAAGGAAGGGGCGTGAGTGCCGTGGTGGTAAATTAGACTTTCCCTGAAGAGCAGCCCAAGGGAAGAAGGTGCCTCAGGGCCTCCTGCGGCCTTCACTGTGAAGCACCTCCCCCTGCTTTAGGCAAAACATCTCCACTTTCAGCTACCTGATGGTCAACATGGCCACCAGAGAGTTTCTGCCGGAGAGATGTCAGGGAGGCCCGTTGACATTTTCTGAAGGGGGATTTGCGTGTGGAAGAGAAGGAAGCCCTAATGGGGGACAGACCTCAGGGGACACCACACAAGTCTCTTACCCACCACATGGAGTTGATTCTGGTTCATAGCGACCCTACAGAACAGAGTGTAACCCGCCCCTTCGGTTTCTGGAGCTGTAAATCTTTATGGGGGCAGACAGCCTCCTTGTTCTTCTGGGGAGCAGAGAAATCGTCTATCTGCTCACCTGGTGGTTTTCAGCCCAACAAGTAACCCACCGGCCAGGGCTTGCGATTAAGAGGCGGGCCATTCATCTCTCTCTGGTTGATGAGAATCTGAACCAAACTGCAGTCTCCCCCAAGCCCCAGGGCTTGTGTGTGTGTGTGTGTGTGTGTGTGTGTGTGTGTGTTAGAGAGAGAGAGAGATCTGGGAGTCCCCCAACACAGGGGACTGGCAAAGGGAGAGGGGAGAGGGAGGGGGCAGAGGCAGGAAGTGGGCAAATAGACTAACAAAGGTGTCTGTGGCAGTTTGCCCATCCCAGGTGGGAGGGCGGGGCTTAGGGCCTTATCTGACATTATTTGTGACCCCGGGGCTCAGAGAGAGAGCACCCCTCAGAAGTTGTTGTTGTTAGGTGCCTTCGAAGCTTCTGACTCATAGAGAGCCTATGTACACTAGAAGGCAACACTGCCCGATCTTGGGCCATCTCACAATTGTTCTTACCTTTAGGCCCCACCATTTCAGATTTCCTGAGACTGGTCAATGGGGTTGATGGGCTGACCCCCCCACCCCCAGGTATTTTTAGAAATTTCCAGGGCAAGACCTTAGGCTGTCTGATAGGATGTGTGGGAGTGTGTGTGTGTGTGTGTGTTGGTGGTGGTGAGGGTGTGCTGCTGCGGGTCTTAGGGGAGTCCCTGCAGCCCCCTTTCCGTCTCTCCAGGGACCATGGGCTGTGGCTGCAGCTCCAACCCTGAAGATGATTGGATGGAGAACGTTGATGTGTGTGAGAATTGCCATTACCCTATAGTACCACTGGATGGCAAAACCACGGTAAGAAGCCGGACAGATGGTGCCTGGGGGAGGGAATCGGGTGGAGCACAGGGCCCAGGGACACGAAGGAGAAAAAAACGGACCACCGCTAGTGGTCCTTGACATAACAGAGTTGCCCGTCCCCCCTGGTAGATGGAGAAGAGAGACCAGAGGGGGGAAGGGACTCTCCCAAGGTCACTCGGCAAGTAGTGACAAAGTTAGTGGTCAGCCCCAGTCTCTTGCTCTCTGACCCCACGTCATTCCTCACCCCACAGCTACCCATCCGAAACGGCTCTGAGGTGCGGGACCCACTGGTCACCTACGAGGGCTCCATCCCACCCGCCTCACCATTGCAAGGTGATTGGAACCAGTAGGGCGTGGAGGAGAAGGCGGCCTGTGGGCCCTTAACTGTCTGCCTCGCCATCTCCTGGAACCCTCTGCCTGCTCTGTCCCTCCTGTGGCGAGTCCGCCTCTGACCCCCGCAATGTCCACCCCAGGCCTACTCTCGCTGACGCCCCTATCTTTCCAGACAACCTGGTGATCGCCCTGCACAGCTATGAGCCTTCCCATGATGGAGACCTGGGCTTCGAGAAGGGTGAACAGCTCCGCATCTTGGAGCAGTTAAGTGCCTTGCCCACCCCAGCCGCCCTGTCCTGGCGGAGTCTGCGGGAGGGAGCGCTCCTGGGCTGGCTCCTCCACCCCAGGGGGATTCCCTACCCCCAGCCACACCCCGGGACCCGGACTGGCTTGGGACAGGCACCCTTGGAACAGATGGGGAGATTCTTGAGTGCTGACCTGGGCGTGGGGTGGGGGCAGAGCGGGAAAGGCCCGGTGGAACTGGGACCTAAAAGAAGGGTCTCCTGCTCCACTGACCGCGCTGACCACGGCTGTGGGGCAGGAATGGTGAGTGGTGGAAAGCGCAGTCCCTGACCACGGGCCAGGAAGGCTTCATCCCCTTCAACTTCGTGGCCAAAGCAAACAGCCTGGAGCCTGAGCCGTGAGTAGGGAGGGGACTCCTCGTGGGCACGGGTGGAAACACATCTGGGGACCCCGGAGCAGGGGCGTGGGGCTGGGAGCCGTCGTGAACGCTTGAGCGGGGTGGAAGAACGGAGCCACAGACCACGGCCGTCGCTTCTGCCCTGCCCAGCTGGTTTTTCAAGAGCCTGAGCCGCAAGGACGCCGAGCGGCAGCTGCTAGCGCCGGGGAACACGCACGGCTCCTTCCTGATCCGCGAGAGCGAGAGCACGGCGGGTGAGGGGCGGGGCGTGACCACGGAGGGGCGTGGCCACGGGAGGGGAGGGGACACGGGCGGGGCGGGGACACGGGCGGCGTCTCCCTGCGGAGGTGTGGGCGGGACCCCTGGGCGTGCCCGAGCCGAAGGGCGTGGTGGCGTGGGCGGCTCCCGCGCCGCTATCCCACCGACATTCGGTTTAGTTGTTCGTTCATTGATTCTTCCATTCAGGATCGTTTTCACTCTCGGTCCGAGACTTCGACCAAAATCAGGGAGAGGTGGTGAAACATTACAAGATCCGTAACCTGGACAACGGCGGCTTCTACATCTCCCCGCGCATCACTTTCCCGGGCCTGCACGAGCTGGTCCGCCATTACACCAGTGAGCCTCGCCTGGACTCTCAGACGTGCCCCTAGGGCCTGGCAGCCTGCCCTACCTACCCCCCCCCACAATTTGCTCCGAGTTACCCTTCCCCAATTTCTCAGTGCACTCCTTCATTCCATCCAGAGGATGGATTGGGGTTACACCACACACACACACCCAGGCTTTTCCCCACCCTCTGAAACTGCAGGTGTCAGGTGACAACCCACACACCTGTGCTTGTCTGTTTCTCCAACATGGGGACTTCGTGAGGTGGGGGCCCCATGCCAGCCGTATTAACAGCGTTCCCGCCTCTCCTGTCCCTGCAGACGCCTCAGATGGGCTGTGCACGCGGTTGAGCCGTCCTTGCCAGACACAGAAGCCCCAGAAGCCCTGGTGGGAGGATGAATGGGAGGTTCCCCGGGAGACGCTGAAGCTGGTGGAGCGCCTGGGGGCTGGCCAGTTCGGGGAGGTGTGGATGGGTGAGTGCCACCCTCCAGGGCAGCCACTGTGGCCGGGTGTGTTTGTGGGGGCGGGGGATGGGGGCTGGAGGCATGGCACTGACTCCAGTGCGATGGCTGTGGGTCACTCCCCAACCCCTTCTCCCTCAGGATACTACAACGGGCACACCAAGGTGGCGGTGAAGAGTCTGAAGCAGGGCAGCATGTCTCCCGACGCCTTTCTGGCAGAGGCCAATCTCATGAAGCAGCTGCAGCACCAGCGGCTGGTCCGGCTCTATGCCGTGGTCACCCAGGAGCCTATCTACATCATCACGGAGTACATGGAACACGGTGCGCTCTAGTGCTGTGGCCTCCTGCACCCCTCCGGCAGGGGAGATGCCTGGCTCAGCTCCCTGGGATTCTAGACAAGCTTTCTGGGTGCCTAGGAACCGGAAGAATGTGTGTCTTCTGAGGGCCCCAGCTCCAGTAGCAGGTCCCAAAGAGTATTCACCTCTGTGGACGTATCTGCCTCCTTCCAAACTCACCCTTCCTCTCAGGCTTTGATCTCTTGGGAAGTGCCTTTGATCACCAGCTTCATCCGGCAACTTCCATTGTGATGTCTTCCAAACACCTTTCACTACTAGAGATGCCCCTTGGTGTCCTCATACTCCATGCAGTACCTCCTTGGGCATACTTCCACTCCTTCATTGCTTCTTACTCTGGGCTGGGTACTGGATGAGGGACCATGGTTTCTGCTGCCCAGAGAATCCATGCTTTTAGAAATGGGCACTGGGAAAGCAGAATTTGTGTCATGGGAAGGTTCCAGCATCCCACAGGAATACGGGAAATGATGCCATACTTGGTGGACTAGCGGGGCATTCTAGCTGGGTCTTGAAAGGAAAGCTGGAATCTTTAGTAAGTAGAGATGGATCAGAGACTTTAGAATCCATTGGTCTGGTGAAGAATCGCAAGATGTGGAGGAGAGTGAGACAAGGAGACAGGGGTCGGCGAGGAGAACTATTAATGTGGACCATGTAGGACCTTGGATCCTTGGCTGAGAGGTTTGGGTTTTGCCCCCTTGGTGACAAGAAGCCCGTGAGACTGGAGCCAGTTCCAGAAGTCACGTGGGAGACTGTGACTGCAGCCAACTGCATAGCGATCAACAACAGTGAAGACTTCTTATGGCCACAATGACTTAAAAACAATAATAATTCCTAATATTTACAGAGCAAGCCCGGGTAGCCCATTGATGAAGCTCTTGATTACTGTAATAGATTGAAGTGTGCCCCGTCCCTCCATAAGATGTGTTATCATTCCCAACCTTTATAGCTGTGGTTATAATCCCCTTTGGGAGTGGGTTGTCTCTGTTATGAGGCAGAGTCCCTGCAGGGCATATTTGGAATCAGTCCCTTGAGATACGTGGCACGAGACAAGCCAGTGGGAGAAGCAGAGGGATGCCAGGCCACATGAAGACTGTGCAGAACGGAAGCTCAGAGGAGACAAGGGCCTTCCCCTAGAACTGGTCATCTAACTTTGGATTCTAGGCTCCTAACCTATTGGAAAATAAATGTATTAAAAAAGAAGTCAATAAGATGCTTCATCGAAGCCTTCCGAAGAAGACCTTGGCATATCCTGGGCACCCTCATCCTGAGCACATACTCCTCTGTCCGCCCTCTCTGCCTTCCCTGCCATCCATCTCGTTGATGGATTGACACTGAGATGGATTGACACCACGGCTGCCACGATGCGCTCAGACACAGGAGCCATCGTGAGGGTGGCGCCGGACCGTGCCGTGTTCCATTCTGCTGTGCATAAGGTTGTTGTGGGTGGGAACAGACTCGATGGCCTCTAACAACTCTCCCTGCCCACACGTCAGACCCTGCTTCCAGACTCCCAGTTGGGGAGAAGGGTCTGGTGGTCTCCCGCTGGGGTGACTTGGCTGAGTGCTTTCAGCTGATCTCTCCTTTGCCTCCTCTGCTCATGACCTATGCTTCTGCCCATAGGGAGCCTGGTGGACTTCCTCAAGACCTCTTCGGGCATCAAACTGACCATCAACAAACTCTTGGACATGGCAGCCCAGGTGAGGAGACTGGGGGAGGGCTGGGCATGGGCACCAGCCGGGGGAGGGGCCATCTGACCCAGGACTGGTGACCGTCGCTGGCCTGCAGATTGCCGATGGCATGGCATTCATCGAGGAGCGGAATTACATCCACCGGGACCTGCGGGCCGCCAACATCCTGGTGTCGGACACCCTGAGCTGTAAGATTGCAGACTTTGGGCTGGCACGCCTCATTGAGGACAACGAGTACACAGCCAGGGAGGGTAGGTGTGGGCCTGGCGGGTGCTCTGGGGTGGGGCAGGTTGGAGTCCAGCCGACCCAGGTAACCTCACTTTGCCCCTCCCCAGGGGCCAAGTTTCCCATCAAATGGACAGCACCAGAAGCCATTAACTATGGGACATTCACCATCAAATCAGATGTTTGGTCTTTTGGGATCCTGCTGACAGAGATCGTCACCCATGGCCGAATCCCCTACCCAGGTCAGGACCGAGGGCAGAAGCTGGAAGGGGTGGTGTGGAAGGGCAGCCAATCCCTGGCTTCCCACTCATTTCTTCCCAGGTTCAGAGTCAGAAACCCACTAGCTGCTTTTTCATCCTCTCTGGGGGGTGGGCCCAGCATCCCCAAACAGATACCACGTCTCCTAGAGCTAACTTCCATCTCTGGCACTAGATCTCTTTTTCTTCAAGAATCCCAGCGTTTTTCTTTTGATCTCATGGAGCAGCCTCATGCAGTAGTAGACCTGGGCCGTGAGGCACGCAAGCGGCCTTTTCTGGCTGTATCTACCACCGAGGCTAGCGTTCCCTACGGCCTTGAACATGTTCTTCCTTCTTCTCTCCTATGTGCTGAGTCATGTATGACCGTATCTACCAC